ATTGATTAATCCTTTTTGAACAGGTACTATGTGTATTATGTTCACTCTGATGACCAATGAATAATCTGAAAGGAGTTCGGGCTTTTAATTTATTGTTGTGATGATATGTCAGCATATTAATTCAATGCGGCTGATTTTTGAATATTGACTTGAAAATTTTGCATAAAGACAAGTCTTAACGAAAATAGTTTACTGTGAAAGTTTCGTTCTCTTTCGTTCTTAAGATATGACTATGGTAAAAACTTGTGTTATTTATCGCGCATATACACTGACAAATTCAATATTCTTATTGTAAGATAAAAGTAAGTGAAAAAGATTTATAGCTTTTACAATAAACTATTCCAACCAAGTCCTCTTTCTTTACAAAGTTTCAAGTTAAAACTTAAAAATCAATTTTTCTAAGCAGAATTACAGCATTACGTTGTGTATTCAAACTTTTTTCAGAATATTTATAGGTCATTAGGATCTGCATATTGTGCATATTTCCAAGTCAATAAGTGATTAATCAATTCGGAGATTTCTCTAGAAAGTATTGAGACAAAATATTTGTTTATTTTTAGCTCCATTGAAAGTGTTTTAGACAAGCCAAAAGCTATGAAATGATGATTAGAATTTTGTACTCTCTTTGTAAATCGGATTAGAAATATTTTATTCATTTCTATTTGAGACTATCGAAGAAATTGTTTTAAAGATCCAAAAATTAAATTGAACAGTGAATCAATAGGTTTTTGCTAATCCCTATAAATTACTCTTTTTGTAGGTGCCAAAGATATTCGGATAGGTTGTTTTGTCGAGTAGACACTGGTTTACAAAATTTTCTATTGAACTCAATTGTGACATTCATCGAAATGAAACGATAGGCACTTTGTCAAGAGCTTCTTTCTATACAAAACATCTTTTGGTCAAAAATGAGGATTTATAAGAAACAACAATTGAAGTGACGACCTATAGAAAAACTGCAAAAGTACATATTGTTGAGCAGCTTCAAAAAAATTTTCCTCTAAACTATTTTTAGGACTTTTTAAAAAATTATTTCATTGTCTTTTCAAAAAAATTTCTGAGCCTACATTCGGAAGGAGCATAAAATTTCGGTAATAATTCATGCCTTTTTTCAAGGCAGTCAAAAATAAACAAACATTTTATCTAAAAACCTTCAATTTATCCGTTGTTTGAAGTTTTCTTTGGCAAGTTTTTCTTAAGTATGATTTCGAATAAGTTTTACTTTTTGAACAATTTACTCAGTAAGAATTCCAACGAATTTAGTGACTTATCTTGGACGAGGATATCATATATATATATGTACTTTTCTAGAACTATTTTCAGCGCATCAAATGATATATAAGAAATCAAGTTTTATGATAATTTTCATATGCTAAGGAGCGATACATTTGTTATAATACTTGCTGAATATTATAGGTTACTTATAGACATTATGGTTCCTAAGATGAACTTGAGCAAATTTTGTTTTTTAACTCAATTTGATACAGTTATAGATACTCTTCAATTTTCTATAATCAATAGTTTTCATGGTTGTTTTTCAAATATTGCACACTATCGAATTCTATATGTTTCAGAAATAACATCTTTTAGAACTTATTGTCAACTTGCAAAATGATCCTGTAGATTTTCCTGCATAAAGGGGGCGATATATTGACAATATTTTAGCAATAATCAATGACCTCATTGAAAATTTTTTGTGTCAATAATCCACACAGTATTCCTGATGAACTGATTTAAATAACTTCTTTATAAACGGAAAAAATGATGTTGACCTCTAGATCCCTGGAGATAAGTACGGATGTAGGGGTGAAGGAAGGAAGGAAGGAAGTCTGTTATTTTTATTATTTTTTTCAGATTTGTATGTTAAGTATCTAGATGTGATTTATGCATGAAGCTCTAGAAGAATCCCATAAATATTTTATGCGCATTTCAAAAATAAATTTTTCTATATTCTTCTATCCCGTTCGGGGATCCGAAGGTCAAAAAACCATTTTTTGTTTCTCAAGAAGTTATTTTTATCAGTTCATCAGGGATATTGCATGAATTATTAATACAAAAAAAATGTCAATAGAACTATTTTTTTTTGTTAAAATATCATAAATTTAGTATAAATTATTTACCTGGTTGTACGTCAAGATTTTTCATTGATGTTGATGAACGTGCAAAATTAAATGTATATATATATAATTGTTTAAATTTTTCATTATCAGTATCGACTTCTTTATTAAGTTGTTTGATTCTTTCACGCAATTTATCTAATGTATCACATTGTAAATCTTGACAACCATGTAAAAATTCATTACGTTGTAATTCTCCTTGTTTAGATGCGTTCATTTTCCAACATAGTATAAGAGTTTCTCGATCACTTGGATCGAATTGTAAATCACTAATAAAATGTAATAATTGTTCTAAATTCATTTTATTTGTATCACGTGGATCAGCATATACTGTCCATAATTGTTCGATTTTTTTCCTGTCAAATTTTGATGATGGTGTTGGAGTAGGATAAGATGAATGATGGGAACTACCACTCGTCGATGAATAAGAGGATGATTCTTCACAAAAAGCAGCTACAGCACGTTCAACGACCCAATCATTTGATTGTAGTGTTTGTCGTGCTTGTTGTTCTGTAACACCCATTACTTCGCGTAATTGACGTATTCTTTCATTTTTTTCACGATCCGAAATTCTATTACGTGATGACATCGTTGTTTTAGTTCAGTTTTTATTTGTTATATCTGAAATATAATAAATCAAAAAAGGAAAACAAAGAGAAAAAAAAAGATTCTCAAATAAGAAGAAAAAACAAAACGAAGAATGAAAAAGATTAATCGATATGTAAACGAAGTGAAGTTACAGTACAATCACTACCTATGGTTACTATACGATGAGTTCTTTTATCATAAGTTAAACCTTCTAAACTTCCGAAGTGAATTTTTTTACATAGAATTGGTATTTCATTTTCATGTTTTTCATCATCACGCCATATAACTAAATAACCATTTTGTGTTGTACAAATTATTAATTTTTGATCTTCATCAACTTTTAAATATGTTAATGTAAACCATCCAAATAAAGATTTTGGTGTATGAAGTACATAAAGACAATTGTATATATTCGATTGAGTATTATATATTCGTACTGTTCTATCATCAGCACATGTATAAATTCGTTCATATTTCCATTCAACAGCTGTCACTGCTGTTGTATGTCCTGTAAGAGTAGCAATTAAATTTTGTTCATCATCAACTTTCCATATACATGTTGTTTGATCTTCTGATGCTGTTGCACATAATTCTTCATTTGGACTCCAACAAACACTCCATATTTCTGCATTATTATTATGTAAACCAATAATTTTTTTTGTATGAAAATTTATTAGTCTTCCATCACCAAGACCAATTAAACAAGATGTTTTATTTTTATTCCATGCTGAACAAATAATTGTTGATTGAAAATCTTCAACTATTTCTTGTGTATCTATTTTATATAATATACCAGATAATGTTCCAACTAGGTTTTTTGATACAAAACATCGAATACTATCAGGTATAGAAGTATGTTGTTTAGGTTTAATATCATTTACTGTCCATTGAAAAATATTTCCAGAAAGATCACCAGATAATATTTCATCATTTTCCATGTATAAACCACAACCAGCTGTTTCATGTAATCTCCTATGTATCACTGTTGTTAAACTTATTGATGATGATGTATCCTCAGTAACTGTATTTAATATTGTAAACATAACTGTTTCAACTGGTGAAGGTGTACGATTATCTAATAATTCAATTTGTACAAGTGTTAAACCCATATAACCACCAATCCATAATAAATCTTGTTCATCAGAATTCCATTGTAAATGACAAACAGCTGTTGTTGGTGCACCATCACCAGAACCAATTAATGAGCCATCTAATGAATAGACATTTACTATCGATGATATATAACCCACTGTTAATAAATATGAATGCCACCAGATAATCGCTTGTGGAGAGCCACTAGCTATTTAAGAACAAAAAACAGTAAAAAAAATCAGCAATTATCAGAATCTATTTGAATTCATATTAACAAAAAAACAAATAATCACTATATCTATTAATATGTTCTACGATAGAGATGTACAGGAGATAAGCTTTTTTCGTAATTGGTACTCTAACTGACAAGGGAATCTCCTCAACTTGAAACTTACTTTTGACTTCTGATTCTGTGCATAAGATAGATCCTAATGAGAAATTAAAAAAACCTTAGAAGGATAAGGATCCCTAGGCCTTCCCTACAACGTTATAGCCGCTTTACTGAAATTTCAGTCTGTAGAATGTTATGTACAAAAAAACCGAATGACGATAATTTTACCTGAAACGTTACCCACAGATAGATCTACTTGTAACTAGAATATCCTGAAAATTTCAACTTCAAAGAATGTTCTCATCATGAGATATTGAATACCTAACAATGGCTCATATTTTGCAAACAATTTGGCAATCTCATGGTTTTATAGAATTCGATATTTCGTGAAGAAAATATCACTTTCCAGGACATTTCGTAGAGACATCAGAAAAAGGCAAAAGTAAATTCTTAAACAGCAAAAAAGTTTGCAATTAATTTTCTTGAATTATTCATAGACGATTGAGGAATTTCCATAACAAGCATAGCACAGAAAGGTTGTTTGTGATAATCCTAATAATTCATATCATAATAAGAAGTATAAGAATTATACCTTACTCTATACACATCAAAGGTAAAGAAAATATAAAAATATCGTTTAATACTTTAGTATGATAGACAATCATCCTAAAACTTCATTCTGACGTGGTAACAATTACTGTTATTTCCCTTAGGTAGATTGCTTAGTTGTTAGTTCTTTCCTGAATTTCATAGTAAGATCTATCTTCTTGCAGAAATTTATTTGAAATTCCCTTTTGAGATATGAATAAATATACTGAAAAAATCCTCGTCATTCGTTTATTATGTCTTGATAAATTACGAAAATCTCTGTTTACTTTTTCTAGTTGATTCTGTGAGCTATGCAATAAGTTTTAGTAATTTCAGAAATCTAATCATTCTTCCTATGATGACTTAATTTCGAGCACAGATTTCATCACTTATAAATTTTCGTATTATGCAATACATCGAAATACTCTTTTGAAAAAGAAAAAAAAAATTATTTACCATTTACAATCGTATGAATTTGTAATGGATTTGTATCAATAATAAAAATAACACCTGATTGAAGTCCAACAGCAAATAATTCTTTTCCAGTATTTTTATCACACAGTGTTGTTGTTGTACCACATAAAAATGTTTGATTTGCTTTAGCTTTTTCTAATATAAGATCATTTATTAAATGACCATCATGTAAATTAAGTTCATGTATACGAACATGTTGTTGTGGTCGTTGAAGTACAGCAAATAAATGACGACGTACAGCTGTACATACAACAAATTCATAACCAATCGAACCAGCAACATATGTATTTGATGTTTCAATTTTTTCAGCTATATTTATTGATGATAAAGAATCTTCTATAACTGGATGAATTTTTTCTAAATCAATTCTTGCTGTTGCCCAATGTCGAAGCCAATTTTCAGTTAATGAATGATGTTTAGAATCATAAGAAAGTGATATAATAGTTCCTAAAGACAAAAATAATATTTAACCATAGTTAATACGAAAAGTTTAAGTGAATTAATTGTTTTTTAAAAATCTTATTTTACATTAAAGAGTACGAACTTGGTTCAAATGGTGATATAGATAGTATGAGAGGCTGGCTATATGATACATTAAAAATAAAAACAAACGGGACGAATCAATTGAGAATTTCACGTTCTGAAAAGATTTTTGTTCCTGACGTCAAGCTTTACATCCGAAAACCTAATTTTAGTAAGAATAGGCGACAACATCGAACAGTGAAATTCTTTGAGTTTTTAATTATTTCAACAGACATAGTGAGTAGTTATTTCGAAAGCGTACCAGACTTTACATCGCCTTCATACGAATCGAATGAAACTTTCAGAGTTTGTAGTATTTGTATCTGTAAGTATAGCTGTAGAATTAAAAAATTTATTTAAATCTTGTGAAGGGGTCCGAATAGGAAGAACAATTTTGGGTGTCCCAGCGAAAACCTGAAACTTTCAGAGTAGAAACTAATCAATGAGGCAGTCATTTCATTAATCGGAAACGTTTTTGTTTGGAGTTTTCTTCGCATCGAAAAGTTTCTCACAAAAATCAGCTATTTCGGGCTTTTGGAGTCTGAATTTCTCCGACAAGGAATAAGATTTAATTGATGATTTTATATGCGTTAGAATTGTCTTTTAACATATATTTCAGTTATAAGATTTAGAAAGGCTTAAAACCAAAGTTAAACGCTGAGACTGGGGGTTTGAGAAAAGGATTTTTACTTTTTTTTAATAAACTTTAGGGCGGTCTGATGAGAAAACTAAGGATTATCGCCAGGAAAAAAAGCTTCTATTTGAGATTTCTTTGACATATGCTATAACAAAAATGTGTTTACTTCAATAGCCAATGAGTTTGCAAAATCTAGAAAATTCCTATGAAAATCCGTCGATCCTAAAAGTATCGAGCCAATGTTGGATGCTCAGCTCACTACAATCTTAGTTTTCTCATCAGACGATTGTAAAGCTTATAAGAAAAAGTGAAAATCCTTCCCTCAACCCCCCC